TGCAATACGTCATTTGATTTCTTGAATGCTGCTTCCATGAGTGTTGATAGTTGATTCAAATAAAATGAAGTCTTTGGCAACTTCAATCTTTTCTCCATTTATATGAATGTTGTTTATTGGTCCAGTGGTGAGAATTTTTGTTTTCTTTACCTTGAGATGCAACCCATACGGAAGGCTGTAGTCTTTTATCTTCATCAGTAAGTATTTTAAGTTCTCTTCACTTTCAGCAAGCAAGATTGTATCATCTGCATATCACAGGTTGCTACTGAGTCTTTTTCCAATCCTGATGCAACGTTTTTTCTCATGTAATCTAGCTTCTTGGATTATTTGCTCAACATTTTTGACAATTGCCAATATTCCTAGAGTCATACTTCATACATTCCATGTTCTGATTATTAATTAACGTTTACAGGTGCTTCTCTTCATTTTGAATTGTATCCCATCAGCAAATGAAGGTCCCACAGGCTTTAATTCATTCATGTCATCACGGTCAACTGGGCTTTGAGGAGGCAGCTCTTCCCTAGTCGCATTTTGAGTGCCTTCCAACCTGAGGGGCTCTACTTCTGGCACTACATCTGACAGTGTTTCACTGCTATTCATACGGTTTTCAGTGACTAATCATTCAGCAGGAGTTCTTCTTTCCTTTTTCCTATTCTGTTTTTATCTAGAAGCTCTTCTGAAACCTGTTCACCATGGGTGATCCTGCTTATATTTAAAATAGCTTCCAGAATCACAGCAACAAACCAGCCACCACAGTATCACAAACTGACAGATGAGTGGTGGTCTTTCATCTTATTCCTTCCATTTTTTGTTTGTTGACTTTGTAAATATCAGATAATTGATGGTTATATTCAAATTTAAGAAATAAGATCTAAGTTGTTCTTTTGGATTAATAACTCAATTCATTTATATAAGTAGTTTTCTTACTATTCTGTAGTTTTATTTCTCTGACAAGTTATAGATCTATTGGGTGGGATGACCCCAAGGGCTGTAAGTGGGAATCCACACAAAACCATGCCAGTCGTCAAGTTTATTCCAACCCATAGAGATGCTATAGGATAGAGTAGGACTTCCCTTTAGAGTCTCCAGTGCTTTATGGACACTGACTGCCTAATCTTTCTCCAGTCCACTGACTTATAGACTCAAGCTTTTGGTTAACAGTCAAGAAGTTAGCATGTCACAAGGTTAAAAGTGACTTGACAATGTCAATTGGTAGGTTTCATTTTAGGAGTTATCCTTGATCCTCAGAAACCCTATACAGGGTACCTAGGAGTCAGATCAGACTCGACAATTCGTAAAACATGTAAGAAGCCCTGTGGTGCAAATGTTAAGTGCTCAGCTGCTAACTGAAAAGTCAGTGGTTTGAACCTATTTGTGGCTCCACAGGAGAGAAGACCTGGGAATCTGCTTCCATAAAGATTACAGCCTAGTAAACACTATGGGGGCAGTCCTATTTTCATATTGGCACATTAGGATTTGGAAATGATTCAGCACCACACAACAGCAACAGAAGACTGCAGATACCTTGAACTGCCAAACAGAAAAGGGATTATTCTCTGGCAGTAGAGGATTTTTGTGTAGGTCCCTCCTGACCAGAGCTACTAGATTTCAAAGGATATCTTTGTGAATTTACAGTATTTATCATTATCTAATATTACTTTTATTCATTTATTTGTCTTCTGTCTCTTTGTCTACCATGACATCAAGGGCAAAAGAGGCTTCTTAGAAACCTTTTTCCTAGGTATAATTATCCAGAACTCACCCAAGAATTAGGTCCACCCTATGGGAGATAAGGAAAGATATCCTGAGTCAGCAAGGTGCTGGGGTAGCTCTTGTTGGCTGATGAGAGTAAATTATGCACATTTGTTCCCAACTCCATGATCTGTGACATTTTATAGGTAAATGGGAACTGGTCAGGGTGAAGCGTTTTTTTCCTCCTCAGATATATAGCGATTAAATCTTTACAGCATTATAATATTCAACACTATCCAAAATGGTCTTCCAGTCCCCAGTGAAATGCACTTAAAAGAAAATCTCACTTCAGAAAATAATATTTCATTTCCTGCACACCTGAGCTTTGAGTTTGAGAGACAGATCTTGTTCTTGTTGTTGTTAAGTACAATCTAGTTGGTTCCAACTCACAGTGACCCTGATAGGGGTGTCCGAGGAGCAGATGTTGAGTATGAACTACTGACATTGTGGTTCACAGTCCAGTACTGATCCTACAGCACCACACTAGGAGTCCTATCTATTATACATAAATTCATATGGGTTATGATTTGCAAGTGAGAATTGGGGAGATACAGCTTTAGTTCACAGTTTCTCTCAACATACCAAATTTATTTGACCTTAGGCCATCAGAGTGAGAGAACTGTTCTTTAAGTGAAAATTTTACATACTGTTTAGGTTATTATGATCACCATTTTACATGACCATCAGGCTATAAAAACAGTGCTCAGACAGAATCTCTCTTCTTGCATTCAACATTCATTCAATAAATATTTATTGGGTGCTTACATGATGGTGGACAAAGAATTAGAAGACAAGTAAACATATAAAAGTAATGTCAGATCATGATAAATACTGTAATAAAAATAACATAGGGTGATGTGAAAGACTGTGGCTGTGGTATTTTTGTAATTGAGTGGGTAGTGAAGATATGTTTCAGTTGAGACCTGAATGATAAGCAGAAGACAGCCATGCTGAAAATTCAGGGCACATGTGCAAAGAGGAGCCATGCAAAGACAGAGTCATATTTGACTAATAATTATATGTGAAACTGTAATATGAATTTCTGGAAAATAATCCTTGATGTCATAAATTAACAAGAGTTAAAACTATATTTGTTAAATATTATTCTACTTTTCAGCTTCTCAATGAAGCATATAATATTCTCCTATTAACATACTACAATTACAGAAGTTTTTCAATGTGTATTTTGGCCTAGTTATTGTTTGGATTTTATTTGTTAAAGCAGTTTTTAATGTAAGGTGGAAGTTATATGACAAATACTATTTGCCTTGAATGGATTATCTTCAAACTATAACTTGTAATTAAAAAAAAAATTCTTTAACATAATTGTTGTTTTAGCCATTGTTTTCTCAATGATGTACAAAAAATTATATATTGAATATTATTGTCATTGTTAAGTGCCATCAAGTCAGTTCTGACCCATAGCTACCCAGTATAGGATTTTTGAGGAGCAGCTGGTGAGCTTGAACCACTGACTTCCCAGTTCAAACCGACCTTTCAGTTCAGCACAATAACCTGCAGTACCTTAACAAGACTCTATAATGAATATAGATTGCTACTATAATTGGATCCATTCCTCCCAGTAAAATTAATCATCCATTTTCACAGATTTCAGTTAGAGTCCTGCTTTGGTGCAATAGATCAGCACTGCACTCCTAACCACAAGGTTGGTGGTTCAAACCCTCCAGCCACTCAGTTGCCATGTGTCAGAACTCACTCCACCTCATTTAACAATAGTATTACCAGACCAGGTTAAAGGTTTAAGTTGAAGACACATTTAAAAACAAAGCTGCTCTTTCTGACTTGAGGTAGGATAAATGGTCCCATGTTAGTTAGAATTTGTACGCATGTAACCCAGGCAACTACATTTGAAATGTTGTCAATAAAATGCATATTAAAATAATAAAAATCCATTGTACTTATGAGCTACAGAAAATGCCAGAATAAGAAATTTAAAAGTAGAGCTATCCTAATTTCCATTTGAATCTATTTATAAGAAATCTTTGTTATATTATCTGAAATCTTGTTCAATTAACAATATCTGTTAACATCAATTCATCAATAATTTCAAAATATACTTAATTGTCAGTTTGTTTGGAGTCCTTTGCCACTCAATATTTTTGACATTTATGAAATTAAAACCATAAGGAGCAGGGGGAAAATATGAGACAGAAAGAGAGAAAGAGAGAGAACAGAATGGATAAGAAAAAAAATCTTTCAATACGCTGTCTACAAGAGACATATCAAAAAGATGGAGACAGCCTAAATGCCCATTAACAGAAAAATAGTTAAACTTTGGTACATACACAAAATGGAATAGTACAAAACATTGAAGAATAATGGTGAATCTGTGAAACACCTCACAGAATGGATGAACCTGGAAGACACTATGCTGAAGTACATTAGTCAATCACAAAAGGACAAATATTATATGATGCCAATGTTGTAAAAAGTTTAAGAAAATTTTTCTTGAAAGAAGAAACAATCTATGATGGTTACAGGGTGGGGGATGAGAAATTTAGTCACTGTTTAGAGAGTAGACACCTGTTAACACAGGGCAGGCAATATATATCAAGAGAGAAACTGGCAGAGGAAAAATGAAGGGAGCAGGAGAAACTGGGAGTGACTATAATAGACAAAGTGAATAGAGATAAATACTATTAACTGTGTTACATGGAGGGGATTGCAATTATGTAATGAAGCAAAGCATATGATTTGTTGAACGTAAAACTGCTCTGTAAACTTTCACTCAATTCACAATAAAAAGTTGAAAAAATAAATGAATAAAAGATGAAAGTACCATGGGCTATCCAAAAAAAAAAAAAAAAATCAAACAAACATAAGAGCCTTTATTATACTCAATGAGCCACCTGCACAGTCTACAGCAGTCATCTTTTGGAAACACTCACAGAATAAACCCTCCTCCCAAAGCAACAACTGCCACCTAGGTGACCCTCACTCCTGTTTATCCATGTGGGAGAGAACAGAATTGTGCTCCACAGAGATTTCAAAGCTGACTTTTCCAAAGTAGAGCACTAAACTTTTCGTCCATGGTGCTTCTGGGTAGACTCGAACTTCTAACCTTCAGGTAGTAGTGAGACTGTTAATCATGTACATCACCCAGGAATTCCACACAGAGAGTACCTCCTGCAAATATAGTCCTCGATTCCACTGGTAGAACATCTCCCAAATTAGTCTCAGACAGAGAGAATAACTTTCCCATTCAATAAATACAGCAAAGAACTCACCTTATCACAAAGAAGGCTGTTGTTTCTAGTGCCAACTTTATAACAATCACAGGGTGCACAAACATCTCTGGCTGAAGGATCTGCACCAATTGTTGGAAAAAGTAATCCTTACACAGCTCACAGTTCCTTCCTGCATCAGGGAAAGGTTATGCATTATGACTTCCAATTCATTAAAATCAGCTGCATAATTCAAAATTAAAGACTGTATTCCTTTGAGAGAATTCTATAATTTTCGGGACGTCCATTTTAATGCACCTTTCATCTCTACCTGCCAATTTAGTGATCCAGAGCATATGAAACAATGAACCTGTTACAAACTGTGCTTTACTTCATTAAACTCCCATCTGTTATAAAATGCCACACTTCTAAAAAGCTGTGCTTTGTAAGGATCCATACATTTTGAAAGAGTTTGTTTCTAAAATTAAAAGTTTTCTTTATTTCTAGGACCAGACACTTAAATTAAATCAAACACAAGAAATTGCTATATGTACAGAAGATAATAGTTATACAGTTAGAAGCAAGTAGGTATGCAGCCCAAGTAATTTTTTTCTCCCAGAAATGAGACTGCCCTTAATGAAATGTATTATTTTATAGTCAACCTGATTAAAACAAATACTTGTGTTAATGCTTATGACCATTATTTTTCATTTCAAATATAAAAAAGAAATGTTTTTTTATTACTTAAATATATCAAATAAACATCTTATTGACTATTAGAATAGCCTGGCATATTTAGTATGTTGAGTAATTCCTATAGTCCACAATTTATAAACTAGAAATTATCCCATGCTGTTTTATATAATAGAAAAACTAAACTATAGCAAGTTTTAAAAGTGAAAGTGAACAGCATATAAAGCCACTGAAATAAGCTGAAATAAAACTCAAGGTTCTCAATTACCCTGTAAACATCATGCACTCTACTCAAATATTGCTGAAATTGACCCAATATTGGAAGACCACTGAAATAACTTAATTAAGTGAAAAATCACATTCTGATGAATATTGGTTATGGCCTAATTAAAAATTAAATGGATTTATAATACTTCTAGAACATTTCCTATTTACATATGCTGATGACTCCCAAATCTATATCTCTAGTCTAGATTTATCTCCTTTATTTATTATTTAATGAATATTTATTAAGTGATTACCATGTTCCAGACACTATGTTAAATGCTGAGGAATACAGTAGTGAGCAAAACAGACACTACACCTTTCTCATAGAGTTTTATTCACTGTCTAGTTGGGAAAAAGAATCTTCATTAAATAACAGGAATAAATACACATTTACAAACTATGATGAAAAAGGTGCTGAGAGAGTGTGCCCATTGTCCTGATCTTTTCTGAAACATCACTGAAAGCTTTCCTTGAAAAAGGCAGCTTCAGACCTGTGTAACCAAACAGATCTCCTGTGTGTCATGGAAACACAAAGAACACACTCAAACCAGAGCCTATCATCTCCCCTATGTCTGATCCTCCTTCTGTGTTTCCTATCTTTGTAACTCAAGCCTCTTATTCAAGCTGAATGTTTGGCATCAGCCTTGATTGCTCTACCTTCCTTCCTTACATCCTACAACCAGTTGCTCACAATATGTGACTGTTTTTCTATATTTAATATCTCTTGAATCCCCATCCCTCTATCCACACAGTCTTAAATGTAGTTGAGCATCATTTCTAACTTGACTACTATCTTGTCTTCCCAAACTATTTTTGGCATTCTCCAATCCATTTTTCACTCTACATTCACACTGCAAAGCCATTTGAACTGCAAAGTCGGTGGTTCAGGCTCACCAGCTGCTCCTTGGAAACCCTATACAGGGTCACTATGGGTCAGAATCAACTCTATGGCACTTAACAACAATAATTCACAATGATCTTTTAAAATAGCAAAATTGCATGAGTCCTGGTGAGATGCTGTAGGATAAGCACTGGATCATAAGGTCAGTTTGAACCTCCAGGTTAGCCGTTCAAACTCACCAGCCACTCCTCAGAAACCCTATACAGGGTCAGCATGAGTCAGAACTGATTCAATGGCACTTAACAACAACAACATTTCCTGTAGAAACGAGGGATGGAAACCTTCCCCAGGGTTCTCATGGTTTCTAAAGTTCTGTGTGATCTGGCCCCTGCCTTCTTTCCTTCCCTGTACCTTTTCCTACCACCAGCCATTTACTCTTCTATCAGTTATCCAAATGTACCACATATATGTTTCTCGCCCCTTCAGATCATTGCACAACCTGGAAACTTTTATTCATGGCCTCCATACTCTTCCCTCTCTCACTCCATCACCTATTTAACTTCTACTATACTTGCCATGCCTTGGCATGAATTGTGCAATTTCCTTTATTGCTTCTTTAATCCTACACCTTTTCCTCTATACAATAATTGATACAAACACAGGGAAATTTATTACCTTGCTCATCTTTTTGTCCCCAGCACTTAGTCAAGTTCTTGTGACATTTCAGGCTATTGATAATTACCTAATAAATTCATTCATTCATGAAACACAGTAGCACATTTTCAAACCCATTAGTGCCCTTATACTTTTCAAACGCAGATGTTACCTATTTCTGTTTTTTAAAAGCTGGCCTTTCCTAAAGCAGCAATTTTCAATGACTAGGCAAAATGTTTTATTGTTTTAGAAAAAAAAAACTATAATTGATTAGAGTATTCTGCATTTAATTAGCTTTTTAAAATAAGAATAATCCCAAATTCCTGGTGTGTATGCAAAATTTGAATGAATGCAAACATCTCCATATGAGAATAAGAATGTAATGGTAACATACAAGGAGTCTTATTCTAAGGAAGTTAGTAAAATTATCTGAATCCTTAAAAATCAAACAAAATAAAAAACATCTTCATACAATTACATACTAGACTACTCTCTCTGAAACAGCCTAATGTTTTGAAATTATAAAGACTGGATGAATAATCTCTGGTTTTCACACTTAGTAAAATAGTATAAACTAGAACGTACTGTATGTATGGAAGAATGCAACCTCAAAGTCAAGTCAGAAATGTATGTTATCTGTTATTTACATGTAGTGTTATGTTCACAATAATCACAAACTCCTCCATCCCCTCTATAGTGGTCAGAAGGGAAAGGGTCCACAGAACTGGTGTAGTGGCAGCTTCTGGAATGACGGTGGCATTCACAGTGTTTACAGTTGTAAGCATGATCTTCCTCAGCTTGACAGAAAGGCTTGTCATTATAAAGAGGCAAACAGTGATCACACTAGAATAACTACAACAAAAATTACTATGAAGCTATAAATTTATATTTTTCATTCAAACAGAACTAACATCAAAGAGCAAAAAGCCAACATTTTTTTGGTTTTGTTTTGTAATTCATATTACAGGCAGTCCTCATTTTGGAAGCGTGAAATCATAAAGGGGACCCTGAAACTGAAATTTTACAAAGTGATCTTTATGATCAGTTGGGAAAGTCGTAATTGCTCCATGGTCTTTCAAAACTCTATCAAAAAATAAAAACCACCTAACTGTTGATTAGGACTCCTGGTGTGGTGCTGTAGGATCCGCACAAGACCTTGGCCCACCAGCTACTGCTCGGAAATCCCGTGAGTCTATTAACAAAAACTGTTGGTTATAAATGTAAAGAGAAATTGAAAATACCGAAACTAAGATTATTTGCTGTTGTTAAGTTCATTGGAGTCAGTTCAGACTAATAGCAACCCTGCATAGGGTTTCCAATGAGCAGATGGAGAGTTTGATCTTCTAACTTTGTAGTTAGCAGTCCAGTGCTTACCTTAAGGTGCCACATCAGGAGTCCAACATCTATTTGGTGGTGGTGATTATGTGTTGTGGAGTCAGTCGCGACTCATAATGACCCTGTACAGGGTTTCAGATACCTATACTGGTACAGAAAGCCTCATCTTTCTCCTGCAGAACAGCTGCTAGTTTCAAACTGCTGTCAGTCCCTGAGTTAGCAGCCCAATTCGTAACCACTACAATACCAGAGCTCCTTAACATCTAGTTAGTAAATTGTAATTGAAAGCATTGTTGTTTTTAAGAGCTGTCACAAAGAAGTGAAAAAAAAAAGCACCCTGCGGTGCTTGACCTTGCTCCTATACTTTGAAGGGAAATGATTGGTTCATTTATTTGTATCTTCTTGTAAATGCAAGTCATTCTCATAGCAGGAAATTTACAAGCAATTGCTAAATTCTTCACTGAAAATTCACATATAAAAGTAATGATAATGTCTTTTATAAGTCATTCTTGAAAGAATTTCGAGAGAGGACAGATGGAGAAAACTTGTAAATAGGTAAAGTTCTCAGACTTGACTATTATGAAATGAATTACAATAAACTGCTGACAAATACAAAATTAACCCATTTTATTAAAACAGATAGACTTAGCAATTATATTCTCAATTATGGCTCTTTGAGGAGCAAGGTGGTTCCATAAAATAAGCACTGGACTTCAAACTACGAGGTCCTCAATTAGATCCTACCAGCCACTTCTCAGAAAAAAGATGAAGCTTTCTATTCCCTCAAAGATTTAAAAGCCTTGGAAACCCAACCCAAGGTCATTATAAGATAGAATTGACTCGAGAGAACATAACAACAATATGAGTCTTTGGTCAAAACATTTTAAAATTGGGAGAATAGACCTTGCTATGTTTTTTTTATCACCAGCAATAAGCATTTGTAATTCAAATTTAATACAGTCAAAAGTTAGAAACAAGGCAGAGGTTTGAAGTCACTTCTTAGTTCAACATCTGGTATTACTGGTTACTGTCAATACAGCTTTGGAAATTTACAGAAAGTTTACATACTTCTATATACTTGGTACTGTGTATAAGGCACTTAACATAGATTGTTACACTGGATTCTCTCGACCACAGAGTCATAGAGTGTTCTACATCTTACCTCTGTTCCTTGATTTGCTAGCCCTGTGTTTCGTACATTTTACCTCTTTAAACATTATTTTTCTTATCTGCAACATGGCATAATAATACAATACAAATAGTGATCTCAAGTTTTAATGGCACCAGCAATACATAAGACTGACACCATACAAAAATATTGCCAATAACCCTTAATAGAAGATTCTGTGATCATACATATATTGGTCCATGTTATACTTAAGGGGAAGTGTTCTATAGAACAAGGGGCAACTTTTGACCAAGATTTATAGTTAAATTAATTTCTTGTTAGTTTTTTTTTTTTTTTTCATTTGTAGCTATAATTGTCTTCATGAGCCATCCTTTGAAGTCTTTTCTGTTAAGCTCTTTTACTTTATCACTTCCTTCTGTTTTATGTAATCAATGTTCAAGAGAAGTTTCAGGGTCTCTTCTGACATCCATTTTGGTCTTTTCTTTCCCGTCTTTTTAATGCTCTTTTGCTTTCTTCATGTATGATGTCCTTGATGTCATCCCAAAAGTTGTCTGGTTTTCGGCCAGTAGTGATCAATGCCTGAAATGTATTTTGAGATGGTCTCTAAAGGCAAGTGAGATATTCTCAAGGTCATACTCTGTCTCTCACAGTCTTTTAAAAAAAATTGTTCAGCTTCAACTTCAATTTGCATATGAGCAAATGATGATCTGCTACAGAGCTGACCCATGGCCTTGTTCTGACTGATGATATTGAGCTTCTCCATTGTTGCTTTCCACAGTTGTAGCTGATTTGATTCTTCTGTAATTTCATCTGGAGAAATCCACATATATAGTCACCGATTATGTTTCTGAAAAAATGTCATTGGTCATGTAGAATTCTATCATGTGATACCTGGCATCATTTCTATTATCCAAGTCATATTTTCCAAATACTAATCTTTCTTCCTTGTTTCTAATTTTTACATTACAATGGTCAGTAATTATCAGTGCATCTTGATAACACGCTGGATCAATTTCAGATGGCAGAAATTGGTAAAATTTAGCAATTTCTACATCTTTTGCCCCAGTGGTTGTTGAGTCAATTTGAATAACAGTCTTAAAAATTAGTCTTTCTTGTATGCTGTGGGTATTAACCTGTCACCCAGAGCACTGTACTTCAGGATAGACACCTGAATAGGATGGCATTGCTCTTCAATTTGTTCTTCTTGCCATTGTAGAAAAATTATTGCCTGGTTCAAAATGGGCAATACCACTCATTGCAGATCACGCATGCCTAGGATATCAATCTTAAAGCAAGCACTCCATTTTATTTTTGATAACTTCCAGTTATCTATAATTCATACTTTGTGCTGTCCTCATCCCAATTACTAACAGATGTTTGCAGATGTTTCTTTTCATTTTGAGTCAGGCAATATCAGCAAATCATTAGTTACCTGTCAGATGCAGATGAAACAATTTTGCTTGTTAAAAGTGAAGAGGACTTGAAATGCTCACTGATGAAGGTCAAAAACTACAGCCTTCAGTATGGACTATACCTTACCATAAGGAAATCAAAATACTCACAACTGAGCCAATTAGCAACATCGTGATAAGTGGAAAAAATACAGAAGGGGATGGCGATTTCATTTTACTTGGATCTCCAATCAATGTAGATGAAGTAGTCCAGAAATCAAAAGGCATATTGCATTGGGGAAATCAACCAAAAAAGATATATTTAAAGTGTTAAAAAGCAACAATGTCACCTTATGGAATAAGGTGCTCTTGACGCCAATCATGTTATTTTCAATCTCCTCATGTGCATGAGACAGTTGGACAGTTATAAGAAAGACTGAAGAAGAAATGATGCATTTGAATTATGGTGTTGGCAAGGCATACTGAATATGCCATGAAATGACAGGAGAACAGGCAAATCTGTCTTAGAATATGCCATATAGAATGCTCTATGGAAGTAAGACTGATGAAACTTGATCTCATATAATTTGTTTGAACCTTCTATATCGGGAGGGACCAGTCCTTGGAGAATGACATCAAGCTTGGTAAAGTAGAGTAACAGTGCAAAAGAGGAAGACCCTCAGAGAGATGGAGTGATAACATTGACAGTGACAATTAATTCAAACATAGCAAAAATTTTGAGTTTGACACAGGACTGAACAGTGTTTCATTCTGTTGCACATTAGTCAGAGTCAAACTAACAGCACCTAACAACAGTTATTGCTACATAAGAGGTCTAATCTACACTTATTCTGGTTTTGGGGGCCCTTTTTAGATGCCATTCAGCATCATTAGGCTAAAACCACTACATCTTTTAGTAACCCTAAATATGGCACTGTAGGATAAGCACTGGACCACAAGGTCAGTTTGAACCACAAGGTCAGCAGTTCAAACTCACCAGACATTCATCAGAAACAATCTACATTGTAGCTACGAGTTGGAACTGAATGGACAACACTTAACTATCATCACCACAACAAATATAGGAGAGATATAGGTTTGGCCCTGTGGATCAATGTGCTGGACTTCAAAGTTGGTTTGAATCACAAGGTCGGTGGTTCAAGCTCATCAGCGGCTCCTCAGAAACCCTATACTATGGGTCACTATGGGTCAGAACCAACTCAACGGCACTTAACAACAACAACATAGCCTAATTGGATAAATGAAGGCCAAAAAAAAAAAACTTTCTGTCTCTCTGGATTTGAAGGAGAGACATGAATTCTTTAGTTCTTTTTGCCAGGTCAATTAGTAGCACCTCCATCCCAAATTTTAAAATATTAAGCTTTGGGCTGCTAATTATAAGGTTGGTGGTTCAAACCCACCAGATGCTCTATGGGAGAAAGATGAGGTTCTTTGGTCCTATGAAGATTGATTCTCAGAATCTCTAAGGAGTAGTTCTACTCTGTCGTATCGGGTATCTGTGAATCAGAATTGACTTGATGGCAGTCTGGTTAGGATTCTACTAAAAACTTAACCAGATAGAAAATTTTGCTAGAAGACAAATACCCTAAGGCTATTTTTCTTTTTATTTCAAAGTATTCTTATTGAAGGCTTTGCTCGCTGATGGTGGTGCTCAATTGTTCTGGTTGTGCCTTCTTGAATAAAAGTTGGTGAATCTGCTGATGTAAAATCTGTGACCCTGTCACACTGATTACATTTGTTTTATGTCTTCTATGAAACAACTGCTGGCTGTTTTTGTTTTGGATCTTGCCTACATGAATTAGAGGAACAAATCAAACAAAAGCATTCCCTTTGCTTTTATGAAAACAACTTTGTTGCTTTTTATAATCATAAAACAAAACAAAAAACGCATCTGAGAAGTATCAACAGACCTACTTGAAATCATCATTTTAGCCATATCTCAGTCTAAAAATCATTACCAAAAAGCC